TCTTTGTTTGAACTTTGGGGATGAATATTGGAGAGAGTGGGGACTAATGTGTATCACCTACTATGTGCCAGGTGCTATGTGAAATACTTGTGCCATCCATGGGAGCTGTTGGTATGTGAGCATGTGCCTCCAAACCTTGGATCAATGGACTCTGGACCCACCCGCCTGTGATCTACCCACTTCTGCTTCGCCTTCTGGCTTCCTAGGCCAGCAGGTGCTTGAGTCTGCAGAGGGCTCTACTTGGCATCTGACCCACAGACTAGAGTTGGATGGACCGGGTCACTTCATTAATATAAATTTCTTTCTTGATAATAAGTTCCTTCTTATACATATACTTTTTGTCACTGGTGTTGTTTCTCTAGAAAACCCAGCCTGTTGCATGTAGTAAGTTACAGGAATACACTCCAATCTCCTAATATTTTCCTTCAGCTAAGTAAACAAACTAAGCAGTTATACTCCAAAGGGTAACAAATGCTACATCCTATGGAGGGGTATTTCAAGGTTCCTATTCACAGCCAGGCAAGACTCCTACTTAACAAACTATCCTTTACCAAAGAGGCTATCATTGGCTCCCCGGGCAGTACTCCATAAGGAACACTGTGGGGAGGTAAATTGGGACAGGTGCTGTGGAAAACAGTTTGGCAGTTCCTCAAAAAGTGAAACACAGAATTAATTACCTCATATACCTAAAAAACTTGAAAGCAAAGACAGGAATAGAAACCTATATGAGAATGTTCATTGCAACACTAGTCACAACAGTCAAATGATAGAAACAGCCAAGTATCCATCAGCAGATGCATGGATAAGAAAAATGTAGTACATACAGTACATGGAATGTTATTCAGACGCAAAGAGGAACAGAGTCCTGGTTTCTACAACACAGAAAGCTTTAAAAATATTATGCTGAGTGAAATAAATCAGGCACAAAATGGCAGATTATATAATCCCCTTAACTAGCTTGAGCAAAACATGGCACAGAGACCACATATTAGTGGTTATTAGGGTCTATGGGGCTAGAAAGTGGGGTTTGTTGCTTAAGGGGTACTGAGTGTCTATTGGGAGTGATTAAAACTTTTGGAAATGGATAGTTATAATGGTAGCACAACATGATAAATATAAGTAATGTTTTTAATTTATACATGTAGTATGGTTAATATATACAGCTATACTTAAAGTATTTTTAAAGAAGTCTAGTAGATGGAAGAGAAATGGGTGAAGAATTTGATCATGCACTACCCACTGCTGTAAGGTTTTGGAGACTGTAAATCTTAATGGGAGCAGAACCAGTCTCATGTTGAGCAATCCAACTGTAACCGGCTCCACCACAAGGACTCTTTCTACCAATCACAGAAACCTAGTGTCTTTGATGTGGAGCTAGAAATGATCCAATGGAAGGATCGTATCTGTAACATTCTGGAGAACAAAGGGAACAAGTATAAAATCTTGTTTTGAGGCTACAAGGAATTGGATACCTGTTACCCCCTAAGGTATTCTATTCCTCTGCTGGGGTGGCCCAATTATTAAAATATCCTCTAATAACATGATCTGAAAGATTTCTATAATTTCTCAGTCTAGGCTGTGTTAGCTGTGCCTGCTGGGGCAAAACAGCACAAATTCACTTTATCCATGAAAGTCCTTCAAATAACTACTGAGTTTTACCTGTTACTCAAGTGTAAGGATCATATTTTAGGTCGTTCCCAGGTTCCAGTGGAGTTGAAATAGCCCATGATCCATGTAATCCATGTAATCCATGAAGCTTACAGAGCCCAGTCTAGAGCTTCATGTAGGAAATGCAGGTTTGTGACATTAAAAGTCCCCTTAAGAATGTCAAATCTCCAAGAGGAAAGCAAATTTTGAGAATTATGTGGGCAACAAATGTATAAGTGTGCTTTACAAAATTGATCTATGTATTGTGATGAATTGTATGAGCCCCGAAAATGATTAAAAAAAAATGAATGTCAAATCCCAGCTCCTTAGGTAGATACATATATCCAGTCAGTCCAAAGAACTTGGATGGAGAATATGAAGACTATTTCAAAACTGACAGGAATAAAAATAAAACCTACCAGAAAAACAGTAAACTGAAGGAAGGTAACAAAAAGAAGTAAACAGCAAAAACCTAACTTCCTTTGAAGTCAGTTCCAATCCTCACTGTCAGTGGGGTGATTCCAACTCCTGGCCACCCTATGAAGGTCAGAGTGGAACTGCCCTGGTGGGTTTCAGAGGCTGTACCTCTTTATGGGTTTGGAAACCATCCTCTTTCTCCTGCAGAGATGTGGGTGGTTTTGAACTGCTGACGTTAAGATTTGCAGCCCAATGCTTTGCTACTATACCACATCAAGCCAATGATGGTGGCCCTACAGATATTACTTACAAAATCAACACAGACTGAAAATTTGAACAGACGCATGGCAAAAAGAAATGATCAGGTCATTAAACAACTTGCAACAACAAAAATCTGCCCCTGATAACTTCACTGGAAAATTCTATTTCCGTGCAAAGAACAGCTCCCACCATTTACTCACAGGGTTCCAGGGTCTAGAAAATGATGGAATACCCCCAAATCCATTTTTTGAAGCAAGCATAACCCTGCTATCAAAACCAAGGATGGACATCACTAAAAAAGAAAATAATAGATATATATGAGGGGGTACTCCCCCCTAAAAGATTGTTTTTTCAAAGCTATTTATTTAATTTTTTTGTTTCACAAAACAACCTTATCACCTTCAAAGTACTCTCCATTATACTTAAGAGATCTGTCAAATCTGTGATTCCATTCTTGGAAACATTTTTCAAATTCCTCTGTTTGGATGGCTGACAGCACCTCCCTCGTTTTTTTCTTCACCTCTTCTATGTTGTCAAATCACTATCCTTTCATGTCCCTCTTCATTTGCAGAAACAAAAGGAAGTTACATGGACCAAGGTCAGGTGAGTAAGGAACGTGGGGCAAGAGAGGCATGCTGTTTGTTGCCCAAAACTGGCGTACTGAGGTGGCTGTGTGAGCAGGTGAATTGTCATGGTGGCAAAAACCACACTGCCAGAAATCAGGTGCTTTTTTGGGTCACACACTATTTTGCAATCTTTTCAGATCCTCTAAATAGAAAGATTGATTATCAGTCTGACCTGGTAGAATGACTCCAAATGCAAATGTTGACATTTTTGCCCAATTGGAAAGTTGAAGGACACCCAGAATGAGGTTTGTCATCAATTGATATTTCACCTTTTTTGAAATGAGAAAACCACGTGCACACTTGAGTTTCACCTTAGCACTGTCCTTGTAATCTGTGTTCAACATGACAACAGTTTCTGCAGTATTTTTTCCCATGCAGGAAACAAAATCTCACAGCTGCACACTGTTCTGTTAAATTTTCCATCACAAAAAATGAGGGTTGAGCCAAACTTTGCCTTTAGGAAAGAATTCATGTGAGCAGGTGATGCCACTGGGTACACTAACTCAGCGCAAGTCGCTGGCTGCAATCCTAATTGGAAAAAATTCGTACTATAAAAGCTTCGCAAAAAAAAAAAAAAAGCTTTGCCTAGAGGAGCTTTTTTCCAGTTTTGGTGGTGATGGGGGTGGGGAGAGAGGGACCGCCTCATATATAGATAGATAGATAGATAGATAGATAGATAGATAGATAGATAGATAGATAGAAAGAAAGATAGATAGATAGATAGATAGATAGATAGATAGATAGATAGATGATAGATAGATAGGTAGACAGACAGATTGACTGATTTTTTTTCCCAATGCCTAGAGCCCCTAAATATAGAGACTGTAAATGTTTAAGGACACAGACATTTTTCTCAGCTGAGCGGCTGGTGGGTTTGGATTGCTGACTTTGCAGGGATAGTATCCTAATGCTTTAACTCACTGTACACCAGGGCTCCTTAATTGAAGGACTGTGTGTGTGTGTGTGTGTATACCACTATGAAATATAATACTGAAGTCTACAATAAATAACCCAGTTGTTAAATCAACTTGTCAAAGAATGCATTTCAGGATTAGCTTTGAGTCCCTATGCAAATCACTTATTTGACCTGACCCCACCCCCACCCCCTCCACACACATACATACATATATATTCATCATGGGTTGTAAATGAAAAAGCTGGCCTTCTCTGGTCATGGGAAGAGTCTGTCAAATTCTCCCAAGAGCTATTCCTACCACATTTCAAGGCAGACCCCAGTAGCCCTGATAGAAGCTCTTGGACACACTAATTAGAATAGTCTCAGAGAGACAGTGGAATTCTGTATTTTATTTAACAGAAAACAAAGTCCACAAACGCACATTTCTGAAGTTTCTATCCTTTACAAATAGCGCCCTGCATCACATGTACAAATAAATCTCACTTTCTCGTTCATTTAAATTGAAAAAGCAAAAGGAATTTTAAAGCAACAGCATGGTAAAAAATAAGAACAAAACCCATGGCTTAGAAAGTGTTAAGCTGGCACCAATGACCAGACTGAGATTTTCTGGAAGATACTGGTGAGGTTTTAGAGGAGACTCAGACATCCAGTGCTAACAATAGGCCTTATATAGTGATGAAAGTGAGAGTTCAACTCCTAACCTGAACACGATGAATGAAGATAATTAATGTATTAGTCTAGTGAGAACCTTGCAGTCACTTTTTGTTCCTCAGATAAAATTTATAGTGTGATTACAAAAATGACAAGGAAAAAAATTACACTAAAGGGTAAGATAAATTGGTATAAAAACACAAGTCCTAACCATCACCCCAAGAAAAGTCTATAAAATAGCTTCTGAGATGAAAATTACGTGGCTCAGCTAGTGGGGAGGTTGTTTGTTATTCTGCCAAGAAGATTTTTTTTCCCTCTCCTATTTCCTGGGTGGCACTATGATATATAAAGGAGATTTCCTCAGGGCCCACCAAATATTTTAGGATTCAGTGATCACAAGTATGAATATTCAAGAAATATGCATAATAAAGCATCAGAATTAAGTAGAAGATATTTCATAGGCAGAAAAGAGAAGTACTCACAGGTTCCACGTTATATGAAAAAAGCGCATACTCTTTATCTGGTGATATTTCATATCTGATGGCTCTCAGTGATTCCTAAAAAAAGAAAAAAATTAAAGTATAGGTTATCTACAACATAACTCACCTATGTGTAATAAAACTGTACCTGTTAGAGACATTTCCAAATTTTGCTAATAAAATTTGGATGTGGCAAACTTGCTAAAGTACATTAAAGACAGTCACATGCTTTCTTTGCTCATCTGGATGATATTCAGATAAAAGGCATTAGTTAATGCCTTTTTCACATTTTGACTTGTCTTCTTTTTTTACATTTCAACAAAAATAATACTTCTATCTGCTGAAAAAGTCAATAAATATTTACATCTCTAACTCTTTCCCACAACATTCTTAATCCTTCCCTATCTTTTAGAAATACATATTTATATACATGTTCATGGCAGTGAGGTATTTGATATAGCACACAATGACTGAGTCAACCATGCAAATAAGTTATATGGGACCTGTGCTGGTTGGGGTTATGTGTCAACTTGGCTAGGCCATGATTCTTAGAATTGTGTGATTTCTCTCCCATTTGTAATCTATTCCCCATTATATGTGTTGCAATTCCTGACCTGTATACCATATTGACTTGTAGGCTGTGGTCAATGATTTAGCTGAGTGATCAGGGAGCATGATTTGAAAATTGGTGATAAGGAGTTTGAGGGAGGATATATTTGGACAAACATCTCTGAATGGACCAAAAGAGTGAAGTTATTTTTGTCTCACCTGAATGCTCACCAAAGAATTAAGACTACTGAAGAGGATTTTTAACAACTAAGTATATAAAATGGCATGTTCTATGGAGATCAGTCATTCTCTTTCCCCAACCACTCCTACCATTGCTCAATGGACCCATGAGCAATGTAATTTTGGTGGTTAGGATGGACGGCACGTGTGGGATCAGCAACATGGTCTTTAATCCCCAAGGTTGACTTGGTTACTGCCATTTCTGAGTACCTAATCTGCCAGCAGCAGAGATTGACAGTGAGACACAGAAATGGGACCAATCTGGTAGCACATTGATTACATGGGACCACTTCCATCATGGAAAGGGTGGTATTTTGTTCTTATTGAAACGTCAGACAGGACAAGATATGACAAAATAACAATTTATAAATTATCAAGGGCTCATGAGGACCTAATGACGGGGCTTAAGTGGAGAGGAAATGTTTTGAGAATGATGAGGGCAATGGATGTACAAATGTGCTTTACACAATTGATGTATGTATGGATTGTGATAAGAGTTGTATGAGCCCCTAATAAAATGATTAAAACAATAATAATAATAATATGGGGGGGGGAAGAAATTGACATATATGGATAAGGATTTACCTTCCCTGAACACCTGCTTCTGCCAAAATTACCATTTGTGAATGTACAGCATACCTTATCCATTAACATCATGGTATCTCACATAGAACTGCCTCAGATTAAGAACTCACCTCACAGCAAATGAAGTGTGGCAAGGAGCCCATGCTCCTAGAAACCATTGGTCTTAGCATGTTCCTCATCGTCTTGAAGCAGCTAGCTTGCTAAAACAATGTAATGGCCATCTCAAGACACAGCTAGGTGGCAATTCTTGCAGGGTTGGGGAAATGTTCTCCCGGAGGAGGTCATGCTCTAGAACCGAATATGAGATGGTGGTGTTTCTTCAGTAGTCCGGACTCATAGGTCCAGGAATCAAAGGGTGGAAATAAGAGTGGCATCACTCACTATTACTCCTAGTGACCTACTAGCATCATTTTTGCTGCCTGTCCTTGCAACCCTATAATCTGTAGGTCTGTAGGTTTTACTTCCAAGAGGCACACCACTGGTGGCATGTAGTTGATTATTGTGTATCAATTAGTGTGATTGATCCTTATTACCAAGGGTAAATTGGATTGGCATTACCTAATGGAGGTAAAAAAAAGACCATACTTGGAATTCAGGAGATTCCTTAGCTTGTCTCTGTATTATCATGTCCTGTGATTAAAGTAAATGGTAAATTACAGCAACTCCATTTTATATGACTACTAATGGCCTAGACCCTTCAGGAACAAAAGCTTGGGTCACTCCACCAGATACAAAACTAAGACCAGCTGAGGTGTTTGCTGTGGGTAAAGGGAATATGGGATGGGTGGTGGGAAAAGGTACTTCTAACTACACCAGTTGCAGAAACAAGGACTATCTGTCATTGTTATGAGGATTTCCTCTTGTTATGCATGCATCAGATACTTTTGTTTCATTCATTTATAAAGCATAAGATGTAAATGGGTTAGAGCACTTTCATTTGTATGTGCGTTATTTCTGTCATGCTAGGCACAAGTATGAGTTTATGATTAAAGAGATGTATACGGTTGCCAAGTTGACAAGGATAGGAACTGTGATAGTAACATTTTGTGTCAACTTGGCTAGGTTAGGATCCTCAGTAGTTTGGCAGTAAGATCTTCCCTATAAGTTGAAGGTCACAGCCTGATAGCATCTTGAGGGTGTAGCCTAGTTCATATGTATACACGGACTCTTTCGAGAACTCGCTGCCTCTCTCTTCTTGCTGGTGTGGATCCTGAATCTTTCACATTGCCTGCTGGTTCTTTGGACTTGGGTCCACCATATTGCCTGGTGATCGTGGGTACTACCAATAGCTTGCCATAATAGCTGATCTTCCAATTTTGTCTGCATTCACCAGTCATGGTCTTCCTGCTTCATCCTCCTACCTCCTGGTTTGTCTTCCAGCTTCCTGGTGCCCTGGCCCCAGAAGCCACTTGGGTCAGGAAAAACCTCCAACTTAACATCTGACACCTGGACTTGAAGCAAACGGAACCTAACCATTCTACAAGTGTGTGAACCATTTTTCCAATATAAATTTCTTTCTTTATCTACATTTACAAGTGCCACTGTTATTTTTCTCTAGAGAGCCCAGTCTAACAAATGTGAAAACAAAAACCCTTACAACTGGACCAATAAGTAACATCATGATAAATGGATAAAATATGCAGTTGTCAAAGAATCCATTTTATTTGTATTCAAAAATCAACGCCCATGGAAGCAGCAGTCAAGCAATCCAATGATGTATTTCATAGGGCAAATCTGCTGCAGTGAAAACCAAAACGTCACTCTGAGGAAAATACCCAAGCTGTAGTCGCCTTCAGTCGCCTCATCTGCACGCAGAAGCTGGATCATGAATACGGAATCATCGATGGCTCTGCATTACGCTGTTGGAGAAGACTGTTTAATATATCATGAACTGTCCGAAGAAGGAAAACATCTGTCTTGAAAGCTCCTTAGAAACAAAGATGGCTGGACTTTATCTCATGTACATTGGACATAGGATCGGAAGAGTCTTTCTCCTGGAGAGGGCCTTCTAACTTCAAAGAGGATCAGCGAAGAGGAGGAGAGCACTCAGCAAGTGATTGCGAAGATAGCGTCCAACAAAGCACCGGTGTGAGAACGGTGTAGGAAAGGGCAGTGTCCATTCTTGGTTCCTCAGGTCACTGAGAATCAGAACACATCTGACAGCAACCGTATGAGTAGGCCGTATACGTATTTTTAAGCTTGTGCTTTTTAAATAAGGCTTTGCTTTATCTTTACCTTTTTCAAATCTTCAATAAGGTTTTCTAGCTTGCTGTTTTCTAAGTCTCGTACTATTCTTATACAAAGTATTTAAGGTATTTTATACCTTTTGCTTTTATTGTGAATAAGACATTTCCCCATTTCCCTATTTTCTTTTCTAGGTACTGATATGGCTTAAAAGAAAAGCTATTGAATTACTTGTTCATTTCTGGTATAAGTATCTCTTAGGAAATTTTCTAGTTATTCAAGTAGGGTTTTTTTTTAACTAAAGTCTTTTATATTTTCTAAGAACATAATTATATTATCAGAAAAAGAGAAATTGTTTTATTTTCTTTAGAGTACTTATTCCAATCTTTCAGTTGGCGGATGGCTTCATTTTCTCCTGTCTCCAAGAATATATTAAATATTAACAGTCACAGTGTGTTTTCCTGCCTAATTCCTGGTTGAAATGGAAATGGTTTATTGTTTGCCACTTAGGAAGGTTTTCACTGCTGGATGCTTCTCCGTAAATAGTGTTTATCTAAGCACTTTATTTTATTCTTAGTGTACCTGTTGATGTTTGGCATTGTTGAGTTGGTTATGACTCACAGCGACTGAAATGTAGAAGACAACGACATAAAACAAAGAGTAGAGAGCATCAATAGCTACCTAATCTATTTTCTGAAAACATATATACCCAGTACACATGAGAAGTAAAAGTAATGATAAGACAAGACATGAAGATGATAAATGATTTAGGGGGAGCGACTATGTGGGAATCAAGTAAACAGACAATCCTGTCTGTTCCCTTAGTCAATGAAGAAGTATAATATGTTAATCTTGTCCTAGTCTTAATGAGTAGGCCCTAAGGCTGCTTAACATTATTTCATGGAGTTTGACAACCCCAGTGCCATTCCCAGTACGTAATTACTGGTTGTGAGAACCAGGGAAAACTTTAAAATTCCAGTTTTTATAGAAAAGGGTGAAAGCATGATTAAACACCTACCATTAAAAAGAGTTCCTGGATGATTTCATAGCTGAATTCTTTCTAACCTTTAAACAGATCATTTCACAGGACAGCTATTTCAATTTTCTTTTTCTTTTTTCCTCCGCAATAGGCAAAGTGATTCAATGTTTTGTATCTTTAATCCTTGTTATTTTTAGGGCAATTATAAGGGGTTTCAAAGAGTCATTACGTGATTCTTAATGGCACAGTGGGACGGTCTGAGCAGGTCTCTAGGGGACTAAAATCGTTTGTGCTTGATTACTAGCCAAAAGGATGATGATCTTAACCCATCCAGCGGTGCCAAGGATGAAAAGAATCCAGGCATCTGCTTCTGTAAAGTTGAAAACCAAACCCATCACCATCAAGCCATTCCGACTTACAGGATCTCACACAAAGTTTCACATACTGTAACTCCTGACTGGAGCAGTCTCTTCTCTCTCCCACTGAATGAGTGGCTGATGGATTCAAACTGCTGACATTGCCGTTTAGCAACACAATGCCT